GTCATTTAATTTCGTGGTTCTTACAAATTAAATAAATCGTATTACGTAGTTATTAAATTATTGGCTGTTGCGCAAATAATCATCAAAAAATTCCAGTACCACTGTATATCATTAAATATTTCTGACATGTTTATAGAAACACTTGTCGAAGGGAAAATCCCATTAATCAATGAAAATTTCAACAAAATCAGCTCTGGTAAAAACAACTTACTCAAGTCTGATTTATTAATAGAGATCACAAATATGTTTAAAAATTTATCCCTTAGAAGCGAAGATAATGAGCACCGAAAGAGATATCACAAAATATTTTGCAACACACTTTCTATACTACTAACATCTAGAAGATCGGATGATGTTTTGATTAAAAAAAATATTTTGATTCCAAATTTGAATCTGTTAATATGAGTCGTAATAATATGCGTAAAATGATAGGTAAATTCACAGATAATCCGACCCAGTATATTAATCTTAACTCTAACAAATACGAGCATATATACGATCCAGAAACTGGTTTTATTAGAGTTATGAATAAATTTATAGGTAATACAACTGGAGTGTTCGATCATACAGAGTTACGAGATAAATTACCCGAGTTTATGACCTTTTAGGGTCGCCTGGCTTAAATCGTCAACCGGAAAATTCAATTTCGGCCAATCACGAGTAGGATCGACATAGAGGCTCGTGGAATATGCGTAATTGCGTAAATTGTACCACATACGATAATCGTTGTTTTTTCGTTTTATATACTGTAGGTTGAGAAAACGTCTCCATATTACATATACTTTGTGGATAAGAATATGCGAGAACGAAACTCGAAAAGGCAATGAGGTGAATAGCCCGTTGATTCTTATCATCACCGTTACCAGAAAATGTTAGTTATGGGACTTTGGAATCTCTGTAATTCCGGATCGTCGTTGCGATTAGCCAACTTCGCGCGATCGTCACCTCAAAAGGGTTTCATTCGTGCACCTAAGATGAAATACTCTGCATATTCACAGACCTTGATATTAATTGTGTATGGCAACATTTCTGTGGAGGTTGAATAATAACGAGTTTGCTTATGATTTTGCTAACAGTCAATTTCGTCATTACTAGGATTCGGAGATTCACTCGATAAAGTTTGGATCGTTTCAATAATTTTGGATCGAGAGAAGCATATAAATAAGCGGGATTTGAGAAGACTTAGTTTCTTATTTATCCACGGATTTTTTCCTCCCCACGAGTTTTTTAAGGTATGTATGTATATTTATAGCAAAAAATACCTATGAAAAATGAAATTCCACTTACTACGGGTTTTTGATTTAGGAAATAAAATGTCTATTAAGGATCTTAGACTCAAATGTCTTGTTCCGGGTGATGATAATTTTTTTGAAATAATACCTCGTGATGATGATAACACAATTGTTCACCTCAAATGTAGAATCAAAGAAGAAAGGGATGATCTATTTGGTGGAATGAAATCATCTGATATCATTATCTACAAGTCTTATTCTACACAATCAGCTAAAGAAATGATTGAAACGTGTAAAGTAAGAAGAGATGATGAATATGGCGTGAAGTTATCTGACACTGAATCGATTTCTAATCATTTTCCTAATACAATGATTGAGCATAAGACAGAAATTCGTATTGATCTCTTTGTAAACCGTCCTAAAGAATAATTAGATTTTTTTTATATTATGTAACAGCGATATGTATTTCGCAAATTTATTTTTGTATCTGCCTTACTACAGGCAATGTTTTTATTTTGTTATAATAAAGCGATGACGCGTTAGGTGTGATTTCAACGACTATATATCTTATCTACTGATTGGTTCGTGTAACTGATACGTAAATCTATTTTTTCACATATAGTCTGCCTCGCTAGTTTACACCAATAACATTTCACAAAAAAATACTATATAAGTCGCTATGTCTATCACGCTTTTTTTTCTTGTCCAAACACCTTCTCAGTTAAGATTAGTAGGGATGAACCTATTAGTGAACTCAAAAAACTTATCAAGGTGGAAAAGGCACCTGAGTTCGATAATTTTCCCGCAGACAAGCTCAGGTTATGGAAGGTGTCAATCCCTGACGATCACGATTCCGAATTAGCCAACCCCACACTAGATGACGAACTTTTAGCAACGAAAAAGATTTCGAAATACTTTCCTGACTCACCTGCCGAGGAGCATACCCATTTCATAGTCGAACCGCCCGTATCAACCACCACTTCGAATCGTGAACAGGAATTACTTGATCGCATCGCACCGTTGGAGACAAGTCTGTCTATGGTACGTATATGTATAGGCAGTATACGCCTGCGAAGCAAAAATTTCTTGGCAAAAACCGTGACAAAATGTCACGATCAGACTATATTCTGAAAAATTCGGATTTTTTACTAACCCAGCTGTTATGTTGCAGACTTCGACGTCGTCGTCCACCCGAAACGGAAGGCAAATATCGAACATGCGTCTCTCGAAGGCCTCAAAGATTATATACGTAAGATGTATCAACCTCCCGCGCTTGAAAATGATGGGGCGGAACTCAAAGTGTTAAATGATAGTGGAAAATACTTCGTAACGATCAAGACCTTCGTGAGATGCTCCGCATATTTGTAACAAAGAATAATCTCAAGTTTACTGTGTCCATAGAAACACCCTCAAAAGCCTTTTCAGATTGGACCTTTCCGAAAGTGTGCGAACTCTACAGTCTTAGCGATGACCCGAATCCTAGTACTGCCGTGTACCCTCTTTTTTCATGCGGTTGTGCTGACCTGAGTAGCGAGAAGTCCAAATCTGTGATTAATCATTTAATGGCTGAATTGAACCTTCGTAAGAAAACCACTCCCCTTGATGTTGCGTATGAGGCAATTAAAACCATCTATTCTTACTGTTACCTGGCCAGCGGAGTATCGTTCTATGAAAAAAATTTCAAAATCATACCGGAAAAGTTTATCATAAGACATAATGGGCAAGGAAACCTCGATTATGCAATAGAATGTCACTCAACTAATAGAATCGTGGGTTTAGTCGAGGTTAAAAAGGACGATTTTAAGCAAGGTTTTGCACAAGCTACCGTGCAGATGGAATCTTCATTATCTCGCAAACGTAAAGCAGACGAAATAGACTATGAATATGGTTTGGATAAAGTATGAGGTGTTGTGACAGATGCGGAAAAATGGTATTTTATGGAGTGTACGTTGGATGATGGGAAGCCGACGTTTAAGCTATCGGAACTGACCGTTGTGTACGAAGATGAGGATTTGCAAGCTAAGGTGAAAAAGGTCCTCGGACATATTGTATGGTTATTGGAGGAGGCACAGAAGCCGGTAGAAACTTTCCAAAGTGATGAGCAATCGAAGGTAATAAAAAAGCAAGGATCATCGAGTAATCTCACAGAAGAGTCGGGTTAGATTAGACAACTCGCCAGCCAGTAAAAGATCGAGGATTAAAAAAATCACCAAAAAATAGAGGGTAGAAAGATTTCCCGCTTCACATGTATTTTTTATTGTATTAATAAAATTTTTTTCTGATCGTTTCCCTGGGAAACGGTTTTTGCCAAGAAGTGATCTTCTGATTTCGCATGATTAATTAAATATATCACATTTTATATAAAAAATGACAGATGCACAAGCCCAAAGGGATGAATCTAAAGATTCACAAATTGCAATTGCTTCGTTAAGAGAAGTATGCTAAGGTTGAGTTTGAGAATATAGAGTTAAAACAGATTATAGAAGAAAATACTGAATTTAAGACTAGATTCGAGGTACAAGATAGGAAACATAAAACTGATATTACAAACCTTATAAACGAAAATACTGAACTCAAATCTAGGGTTTTAAAATTGGAACAAAAGTTAACACAAAAGACGAAGACAAAAGCGATATTATTGCTAAATTAGATGATGACACTGCATCTTACAAAGCAAATTCTGATGATATTTCTAATTCTGATATATACCAGGAGACGAATATTCAATACCCTGAACCACCTATTCGTACGGAGTCTAAATCCCCACATTCTCATTCCTTGAATTCGAGGCCAGAAAGAATGAAAATATATAAATTGTCTCAGAAAGGTAATAATTGTCTTCCCGATCATGAACAAACGAAGTGCAATGAGTTATCGGGGGAGATCGAATTTTTAGAACGAGTACATAAAGAACAGATTAGCAACGAGATTAGAGAAAGAAAACGGGAAAAGCTATTACGAAATAATGAAATATCTCATAATCAAGATGATGCAGAGCATCGAATATCCCAATTCTCCTATATCATATGATAAAGATAAATCATCATGTGATATAAAAACCGTTTCCCTGGGAAACGATCGTGACAATATTGAAAGTAGTGTAGATATTGCTTCCGAAATAAGTGATCAGCAAAAAACTATTCCGAATACCCCCTTACCAGTGGAATATCTTGACGATTCTGATGAAATTGAGCTTACTAAAAATCAAAATATAGAATTAGATTTAATACGAGATTTGCGGAATGGTATGCTTATTACATCATCCGATCCCATAGAAATACCTTCCAAAGACATCGTGGATAATGAAAAGCCAATATCTATTGAATACTCTAAAATTACAATGCAAAGCTTAATCCACTTATTTAAGAAAGCAATACGATCCGGACACGAAGAAATTTTATCCTGGATTCACTATTCAGATAATTTTGAGAATAAAGTTATTGAAATTCATCATAAGTCAGGAGTTAATGATAAAATTGTAAGGACCCAAATATACAAAGAAATGTTAGAACATTTACCAAGTGTTACATCGGTTGCTTTGCGAATTAAAACTCTTAGGACCAGAAAAATTCGTAAGCTATTTGGAGAAAATGGAGTTGGAATTGATAAAGTAAAGTATGTCGCCTGCAGTGCAAATGATATTTCAAAATTAACCAATGCACAAATTCAAAATATTATAGATCAAGTAACCTCGAAAACCGTTTCCCAAGGAAACGATCAAAATCATGTGATCTCAACTGAGATAAGTGCATTACCTGAAAAGGTTTCACCCAAGACTAAGGTAAGTGGGGGAAACTAAAGAGATTCTTATAAGAAATGAATCGGATATTGATGATATTATTCTTATATTGCAACAAAACTTTGAAAAAATACCAAAAAAAATATTGGATAAATGGAGAAAAGATATTACCTTCAAATTCCGTGATAATACCAAATACTGGAAGAAAGAACGAGAAAGTATGTCCGAAGCAGATTTCTTAAAACACAAGAAAAACTTTGAGGCTAAAATGGGCGTTCCTACTACACCCTATAGAAAGAAATTAATGGATTTTTGCGACGTGTAGTATTTATTAATAAAAGGCCTTTGTTATCAAAGTTTTTTCTTTTTTGATTTTTCCGGTGTTACATCAGTTTTCATTTCATTAGATGAATCTCGTTCAGGTGTTTTAGAAGAAACAGATTCTCTATCATCCAATTCAGATGATAGATTTTCAACAAGTCCCTATAAGAAATACTTATTAATATATGACAGTATGACAGTAATCTTATGGAGATAATTAATTAATGTTAAAATAAGGCTTACCTTAATATTCCAAGCCCACAAAAGAGCAAGACGAAGGCTGCCATAAGATGAATATGACAGCGGTAGATTGAATGATTTTAAGAGATGAAGTCGATATACATCACGTTTTTCCATCATATACTGTATATTCGAATTTCGGTCATGTATTGCTGAAAAATAAACAATATTCAATGCAAAATCATTTAACCATTGACAAAGATGAACTTAAGACCAATCTCACCTGAATCCCGATAGTGTAAATATTTGATGTACATCTATTTCTATTTTGAATTTTTTCTAATATGTCATCTAACATACAGTATGGATCAAAAATAATTGGAAAAAATCAAAACTCATATTTTATTCATAATTTAATAAATAATTAAATAA